TTTTCAAGCCAACAGCGCTAGCCTATCTTGAAGCAGGGGGGACAGATGAGCTCTGTCCTGGGGTGGGTGGAAAGACAGATGTTGAGGCTGGTGCAGGAGCAGGGACAAGCGTCACCCTGGTGGGCAGAGCCACAGCCGCCCTTCGGTTACACCACAGAGCACTGGAGCAGCCCAGCCACAGCTGGAGCAGTGCTGGTGACTGCTGTGCCCACAGGCACAGCCAGGACCAGAAAACCTCAATGGGAGAATTTTGCAACACACACCCTTGGCAGCACACAGAGGGCTCTAGAAATCCCAATTCCACCCATCCCTTTAACGCTTGAAATGGCTCTTCTGGAGTCATTCTTCAGTGTGCATTTCTTTTGCACCATCCTGCTGAGTGAACATAGGGGCATAACCACATGAACTTTACAGCTGTAGGACATCATTGTTAACAGGAGAAAAAAAGCTTCAAACCTTCTGCTTCAAAGCCACAAACCCTTGGTCCCAATCTTTTAAAAAGAAGTCATAATTAACTTTGTAATGCTACGGCTCACATCTTCTCTGCAGCCATTCATGGTGTATCTGTCAAACTTCATAACAGGGAGCAGCTGATGGACTACACAACATGGCAATTTATGGTGTAACTGTAAACAATAGAATTTTCTCTAGTTATGTGGAAACTTTTAGAAAAACTGCAAGACTGCAGCAGTTAACTGCATAAAGTTAATTGGTTAACTGAAATAGAAGCTCATTAACTGATTAACTGAGCGCAAAGATGGAGTAATGTCAGCACAGTCACAAGGCACATTTAAGACAAGAGTTGCAATAATGTAGATTTCTAATTCCTGAATGTAATTGATTAACAAATTCAAACAAATTAGGCTATGTTATTTACTGCTTGCCATAAAATACTGAGTATGATTAAATTCATGTGTTTGAGAGAAAAAAAAATACCTCTTAGGACAATTACAAAAGAGAAAAAAGTAACTAATTATTTTGTTTGCTGTTGTCTGTTAAAAATGTAATAATAATTATAACAGCAACAATCATAAAAATAATAATAATAGGAAGAGTAATATCAATAATAAGACTTGTCGCAAGAGATAGGAGCACAGATTTCCAGTGTCAAATGGGGAAACCTACTACATGGCAAAAGCAAGACACTGAATATTTTTTCCAAGTTATAGCAGTAGTGAGAATCTCGAGCAACATCTAGCAAGTCATTTATGAACTCAGTTGCTGTGTAGATGTATTAGAGATGGGTGATATACTGATATCATGTTGATGTCATGTTCCAAATCTGTTGGTGATACCAAAAAAACCCTACTAGCAAGCCATGGATGCTAATGAGGGCAGGTGATACTAGGGGTATCAGTACTGTGCCTTCCTTTACAGTGTCTCCTGCAGCCCAGCTTGTCCCTGGATCGAGCAGCATTGCTGTGCTTCTCTCACTGTGGTCCCTGCAGCCCTGTTTGGGGCTGCCTGCTCCTGTGCCTCTCAAGGAAGCTCCCAAGAGGTGTCAGCCACGGCTGAGCAAAGCAGGCATGGGGGCACACTGGGGACCTGCCCCCAATACCACTTTGTTCCCTGGCCTCACTGGGTCTGGAGTCACCTCCATGCCCCTGCTTCAGCACAGCTCAAAGATACACAAAGAGATCAGTCATCTGTTGAGCATAGAAAGTCCTCTTCTCTGTCCTCAAGTCCCCTGTGCTCCCCAAATCCTCATCCAAGAGCTTAAATAGTACCATAATGTTTCTTGATAGTGTGATACAGCTTTTTTTCCTGTAATTGCAGCATTAGAAATTAAGATGGTATCACCTATTGTTGATGCTGCTTATACTCAAAAGCAGCTTCAGAACTCCGAGTGCAAGGTTTATTGCATAAATGGTCAAAGTATTCCCTCTAAGAACCTGCTACTGAGTAACCTGACCAATCCAGGACTGCTAGCCATATTAAAATACCAAAACAGACAAATTGCAGTGGTGATGACTGTCACCGCTAGTCTCTTCTTTACCTAGACTTTACCAAAATCTCGTGAAAAGTCAAAATCATTTCCCTGATTAATGAACTCTCCTCCGTAAAGTTCAACCCCAAGGATTATTTTTAGACTATTACTCATGAGTACTGAACAATTCACAATGCATTAAATACAAACAAAAAATATCAACCCAAAACTAAACAAAACAAATCCATAAAAAATAAGCCCATAAAATGTGTCTAGTTCAAAAAAACCGAAGAATTAAAAGAGTGGTATAAAATTAGATGCTGAAATTACTAGTTTGCAGTCTGGAGTATGTCAGAATCCTTTCTTGTGTGCTTATATTGTGCTTTCCTCTACCATGTGCTTTGCAGAGAAACACAAGTCACCAAAGTGACATCAAAAAAAGGGTTAAAGTGTAAGGTGAACAACCATTTCTCCTCACAGACCTATCAAGGTCAAGCGCAGGAGTCAGCTGTTCCTCAGCCCACAACCAGGCAGCTAGATCTCTATTCTTTAAAACATTAACCGTACCCTTTTCACTTAACAATCATGACAATCTTGCTGTATATGTTTTTTGGATGGCTAACAAAAGGAGAAACTACAGCTGTAAAAAGAATGAGACTTAAAATGAATTTGAGATGTCTTCACAGAAATCTCCTAGGTAACACAATGTCAGACTAATGTTTGCAATGCATTGCTCGCTGCCTTTTTTGGTATTTGGAGAAAACACACCCTAATTTTTGTTTATTTCTATTTCTGAGAATTCTTATTAACAGCAGGTCACTACCAGAGCAGCATAATGAAAATGAGACAATGTTGATAATATAGGCAAGAATGACCACGAAAGGTTAGCTCTTGAGAATGCAGTATTTCAAATTAAAAAATTCCATAATATGTAATGTTGGAGGTTAAAAACTGAGAAGCTGTTCAAATCAAAGGGGAGATAAACCTGACCCTACCATTCTGCATCTTCACTTCTCTTACAGCTCGGAGCTTGTTCATAGTCAGAAAAGCAGTATTGAAAAAATTTTAATTAAACCTAGCCTGAAATTAGAAAACATTGACTAAATATGCTTTTCTAAAAGACTTCAGTAAACAGCTGTAAATGTTAATTTAAATTTCTTTCAATGGTAATTTATATTTTCTGCAAATGCAAATCACCAGCAATGGCTTCTTTGAAAAAATTCATGAAAAATGCAAATCTCTTAAGTACTCATATTTAGACATTTTACACACACAGGCATGTGCGTATTCATATATACAAAGATTTATGGCAGAAAGATTCCCAGAACTTTCTTGAATGAGTGTCCCATAATCATTACCTTATGGCTGGAATTTCCTAGTATCAAAAATGGCCATGGTCATTGAATAAATTGCTTGCTACAACTTTGTCCATTTCTAACAAGAAGTAGCATTTTACAAAATACTATCATTTAATTTTAATTTGCATTTTATCTTTGATTCCTGTATTAACAGCTGGGCATCCTAACAGCTGGCATCATCTAAATGGAAGCAAGCAAACAGCTACTTCTGACAGAATATGATGGTCATTTCAACACAGAATTTCCTTAGGACTTTTCTACAAAAGGACATAATCAAATTAAAGACTTGCTTAATTTCACTGTCTTTCCAGGGCATGATTTAAAAGGTACAGAAATGCTCTACAGTAATTTTTGTGTGCAAGCACATAGAGACTTTTTTTCTGGCTGCTGTACCCAAAATATAAATCATTTTCTGCTGTAGTGTCAGGAAGTGTATTGCACTAAATTAATCACAAGCTACTTTAAAACAGGGACAAAAAATGCACTGCAAAATGAAACAAATCTCGCTGTGCCTGGTTTCCATTTGCATTGTCATCACTTACCTTTAGAGGACGATGGAAGGAAGATGGGAATGTTGCTGAAATGCATTCAGCAGACACTGTGTGTGTTTGTGAGCATCTCTAGTGCGCTCTGCTGTGCCTTCAGCCATTGGAAAAGATAAAGTATTATAACCTGCGCACAACATAATCTTCACTCTTTGCCAGGCTCCTAGCAGAGGGATACACTATAGCAAACTAAATGCAGAAGCACACAGACTACAAGCCAAACTGTGTCTTCTAGCATTTCCCAGTCCCAGGCGTATTCTGCTGGGGTAGATAAAAGGCTTTCTGTCTCATAAAAGAAGAGGAAAAGCAATTCATAAGGGAAATGGAGTCATTTTAGAAAGCTTTTCCTCATAAGCCCAATACTTCAGCAGATGTGCACAAGTGGGGAAAGCTGCTAGCACAGAAATCAGGCAGCTCCATCCGCCATCGTACAACTCTGACTCAGCTTGCTTTTATCTTTTATGTCAGGCAATCAAAAGAAAAGCCAATTTTATTTACAGGGTGAGGGGCAAATAAACTTATGCCAATTAAAGAACAGAAATGATGTGTCTGTGGTTTAGACTGGAAGCATTTTAAAGATAGAAAATCTTAAATAATTCATTCAGACAAGGCTTCTAGATCCTCACCCGTCTTCCTTTGCTCCCAGGGCAGTAGGGCATGCACTGCACTTTTTGTTAACTCTCTCCTTTCAAATTCTCAGCCCACAGACTACACCATCCAAAGAGGCACTAGTAATATTTAATATCCCTGCTTTAAGAAAGTAATTTTCAAAATGCTTCTGGGAAGACACACTTCTTTGGACCACAAGCAACAGCAATTAAAGTCAGCCTCAACTTGACAGCTGACTTTGAAATCAGAAAGAGCTGACCAAAACGTTTTGAAGTCTCTTTCCACTCTCTCCTCAATCTCCAAAAGTACTTTTTCTCTTAGGTGATCACAAGCCTGCCTGCCTTTCTCACTGCTGGCGTCTCGGGTCCTTATTAGCTCAGGACCATCTTCTGATTCCTGACTCAGGAAAGCTCATCATAATGTAGCTCTAAGCCTGGATATTGATTCTTAGCAAAAGCAGTTCAAAGAATGTTCTCAAACACTACTGAAATTGGGCCAACTGTGTGGTTTTTCTCCTTGCACAGTCACTTACTATCTCCCTCTGCAGCAAGTCAAGCTTACCGGTAAAATGTGGTATAATCCACTGTTGAATGACAGCTCTGAAACGCCCCTGCTTTGAGTTTCTGGCATTCACGGTGAGCTCGGAATTTCACCCTGACTGTGCCATGACACAGCTCAGGCACAGGTTTTCTCTGCGGGCGGCTGCAGAACTCGTTGGACTCCACACGCCAGGATTCAGCGAAGTCATCCACGTCAAACTTAAAATTCCCATCCCCCCCAATCAGGTCATCTCGCTTGTGCCCGTTGTAATTGCCACACAGACCACAGAGTTTTCCTTTCAGATGGGGTGCAGCCATGACTTCCACAAAACTGTCTCCATCCCATGAGATTTCCAAGCCTAATAAAAATGAGACAAAAACATACACACACCAAAAAAAAAAAAAAAAGAAGAAATTGAGGACAACAAACTCTGCCTTATGTTTGTGAAACAGTGCTCATGGGAACCTAAACAAAACCATTGGCTTCCCCCTGATAATGTTGTTAGATTTCTACATGCCTCCCAGTAAGTGCCTCTGGCAAGTGCAGTGTTTCTTAAATCACAGTCAATTACAATGCAATCATGCCTGCCCCTGGCTATTTTTGTTCATCCTTGCTATGAATGGGTTTATCCTGAAAAATCTGGAGCCACAACTACTCTCAACGCTGAAAGAGGGCTCTTGCAAAATTCTGCAAATTGAATACGCTAGGGCAAATTTCTAGCTGATTTTGCAGGGGCCCCAGAATTTTAGCCATTGTCACCCACTGCACAGGTCATGGGTATACAAAGGTGTCCGTAACCCTTGAGACTTCATCAGTAACCACCTTATGGAAAACATCCTTTTCTTGCCTGCAAAGCCAATACTGATTACCCATTTGGGTGAATACATCCGTCCCAACACAAGTACTTTATTTTGTGTGGGTAAATAGAGTTAAAAAGATCCCCACAAAGAGACGTCAGATGGGTAAAGCTATTGTAAGAAGGCATTCTGAACTGGATTCAAACTGTTCGTTCAAAAGGTGTTAATTATCAACCTTTTGAAGTTGTCTTCATAAGCCAGCAACAGTGAGGAATGATGGTAAACATCCAACCTTCATCTAGTGGCTGGGAGTTAAGTGCTCTGCCACAATCTGTTTTAACAGTAAGGTTTTGCAATTCTAGTACATAGAATGGTTTAGGTTGGAAGGGACATTAGAGACCATCTATTTCCAAGCCCCCTGCCATGGGCAGGGACACCTTCCACTAGACCAGGTTGCTCCAAGCCTCATCCAGCCTGGCCTTGAACACTTCCAGGGATGGGGCATCCACAGCTTCTCTGGGCAACCTGTGCCAGTGCCTCACCACCCTCTCCGGGAAGAACTTCTTCCTGATATCTAATCTAACCCTCCCCACTTTCAATTTAAACCCGTTACCCCTTGTCCTGTCACTACAGACCCTTGTAAAAAGTCCTCCCCAGCATCTTTGTAGGCCCCTTCAGGTACTGGAAGGTGCTATAAGGTCTCCCTGGAGCCTTCTCTTTTCCAGGATGAACAAGCCCAATTCTCTCAGCTTTTCAACACAGGAGAGGTGCTCCAGCCCTCGGATCATCTTGACTTGTTTCAATTGGTCCATGTCCTTCTGTTGAAGACTCCAGACCTGGACGCAGTGCTCCAGGTGGAGTCTCATGAGAGCAGAATAGAAGGGGAGAATCCCCTCCCTCGACCTGCTGGCCATACTTCTCTTGATCAAAATTACTTTCCGTGGGTGTAATCCATTTTATCTGTCTGTACCTATCCAAAAGCTAGGTGTCTAGCTTAAGTCATCTGTCTGGGCCCACTCTCTTTGATGGAGAGAAACATGCAGCTCTCACAACATGGGTGTCTAATGCAGAGGGAATAAACTACCTGCTGAATGGCTTTCTGTTTCCAGTGATACTCTAGAGGGCCTAGAGGCCAGGTGGAGGCTAAGCTTCTAGTTCTAACCTGGGTGACTGTAAATTAAATTAATTCCATCCTTTATAGAGTAAATATGTCTCTCATAAGGGAAAGCAATTTTAGTATCATATGGGATAAATACAACACCAAGAATCACTGCTGCTTAACTTCTACCCAAAATGGCCTTTCTTCAAATTTTTTCCAACATCTGATGAAAGTTACTACTTCACATCTCTGTGGTAACTCTGCATCTGAAGATCATGAATCACTTTGCTGACAGTAATTTATTCCTATAAATTACTTGTGTGCAGCAGTTAGTTAAGGATAAACACAGGAACTTGCTTTTAAACAGGATAATCCAGATTTTACCCTGTTCTCACTGCCTGGTCAAAAATACCAAACAGCAGCACTTCATGGTGCAGGAGTAACTCCAGCTTTCTACATTTGTTGTGTGGGCTGGCTTAGCACCACCCTTTCCTCTTGTAAATCAGTACTTGTCACTATGCACTCCAAACCCTGCCGTATCCTCATGTAAGTAATTAACATACCAGTGACTCAGTTCAAAGCTGGAAACCTTCTTAGCAACACATGCCATTGTTTCCTATGACAATTCCTACCCACACTACAGAGGAGCAGGGTGAGGCGCAAACAGCAATTGTGGCTATAGAAGGGGTTTTCCTATGACAATTCCTACCCACACCACAGAGGAGCAGGGTGAGGTGCAAACAGCAATTGTGGCTTTCCTATCGGGACATACTGTCCTGGTGCTCGTGTGGTTTACACCGTGTCACCAAGAGTTTGGGGAAGGATTTACCCAGCCAGGTTGTGCACACAATTCTGCATCCCTAGTCACTAGCCTATTGCCTCATGATTTCTTATTGCTATAGGTTACCAGTGGTAGCACAAGTATGTCCTGAGCTGACTATGCCTGAAAACAGTTTCAAATTATCTAATAAGCCCAGCATGGATAGGGCCACTGTGTCCTCCTCCAAAGGCACTTTGCACCCAGCCAACTGAGAAATTGTGAAAGACTACAGTTGTTAACAAGGCCAGCACAGTGGCAAGAAGGAAAGCTTTTAAGCTGCTTCATACATTATCATTGTTGGACAAATTCAAAATCCAGCTGTCTTTGCTTCTGACAACACTGAACAAAACAAAACACAGCTTGATTTGCAGGCACCAGAATAATACTTCTGTGCTGGCATTTAGAAAAAAACTTTCCCTTAACTTACAAATTAAGATTTCTTCAGACTTGAGAATCATACAAACTTTCTCAAAGCTTGAAGCATTGGGAACCAAATTCTCAGACAGCTCCCTTCAGAAGATAACGGCAGTTTTTAAATCCGTGTTCAACTTCTCCCCTTAATGAGCTCCCTCAGAAGCTGCTGACTTTAGGCAGAATCACAAAAGACTGGCTAATGACTCTACCTTGATTTTCCTTTTACATCTTTGTTTTCTCAAGCCAACACTTACTGACTTTCAGTGAAATCACTCAGGTTCTTTACGAAAGGTTAACTTGCCCTTCACGAGAGTTAAGTTAATCTACTTGTTACATATTGCTCAGAGTTAAGTTAATCTACTTGTTACATATTGCTCCGATAACTTTAGGTATGCAGCCAAGAATAACATAAAACTGTGGATTTTCATCTCAGCATATAAAAATGCACATTTTAAAATCTAGAGACTCCTGCTTTGATTACTGGATTTGATTCAAGACACTACCACAAAAGGATGTACTTTCCTCTAGCTGGGTATTGTTTAATTACACTATATTCTGCTGTAATTGTTCAGATGGAAGGGTAATTTCTAGCTCTGATGAACAGCCTTAAGGTTTCTATGACAGAACTTATTCCCTTTTGGGGTAACAAGGAAGGGTATTTATTCCTACAAGCATGATAATTTTTTCAGAGCCTGATCGCACTGTGCAGTGTGTACCTCTTTGTTCGCAAGCAGAAAATTCAGTTGGCTTCTATAAACCAACAAGAGCTGTGACAGACAGGACTGTGCTACGGAGCAATGTTTGAAAAGGTCTCCTTGGCAGACAGAAATTGCTTGGAAGAGTTTCTTGGTGCCTATACCCCACTTTATTTCCCCCTCTACAAATGGATGAGTTTCCCATTCACTTGGACAAGGATCAGAATACAAGAGATGTGATGCCAAAGTATGGAGCATCTGTCCCATCTGGGGATGTGCAGAAAAGGAATATTCTCTGAGTTACTTTTTAGGGGTTTCCAATTTTCCCCTTTCTTTGAAGGATGCTTAACCAACTTGTTACTTGATTTCTTAACTTGGCACGCTATGTGCTCAACTGCATATAAAAATCTTTCTGGATTTATGCATATCGCACACTGAGTTCCTTATGCTGGAACTCCCATCGATTGTTCTCATGATTTTTCATGGTAAAGTCGTCCTCGAGAACTGTTCTCTAAAGATTTAGTGCCAAAGCGGTAGAGAAATCCTCAGCAAACAGCTTCATGCAAAAGATCAGCACAGAAACAACAGCAACAAATGCTCCTGCACTAGAGGGACAGGTAAATAACACCAGCCCTGCGATCCTCTGCTCTCTCCTCTTTTTACCACACATATTTTAGTTAAGGATTCGACACCATCCCAACAACACGCATGAGAAAGTACCTGCAAGTGCAAGGTGCCAGAATTGCTGCTGCCTGGCATCCAGGCCTACAGCTGGTGAGGAATTTAGCAACAAAACAGGTTTTCACCGGAAAATGCCAATTCATCAGAACTGAAATTCTTCAGGGAAACATATCGGATTCAATGAACTTCCAACACTGCACAGGCAAGGCTCCAAGCTGGTTTCCTGCCAGCTCACCTGGTGGGCTGCCTGGAAGCCTGGACTCTCCGGGTATGCAGCTCCAGGACAGCCCTGCCATGAAGACTGCCCTGTAGCCAGGGACCACAAGACTTCCTGAAGCTTGGGGCTCCCCTGCTATACCCAGGGCTCAGCTCCCAGCTCTGCAGAAGGAAAACCAGAAGCCATGGGAATGCTGGCTGAGCTGTAAGCACCAGACCCTGCACTTCCCAGCCCAATTTTACTTTGAATTTTGCTTCTAATGCAGTGGGTTTGCTTATTTTACATTATTTCCTCCCTCCCTCTCTTTTTTACCCTACACTGGGAAAGCATATATATTTTTTTAAATCCATGTTTTATTCTGAAATAGAGAAAATTCCCCAATTTTTTTCCCCCAGAACTCAGAATTTCCTGTGGAAAAAAAAGTTTGTCTTTAAACCAGTTCTACTCAGCACATTCCTCTTCTCTAAAGCCTCTCTGCTGCTTGTCCTCTCCCAGCAAAATGGAGCCCTGCCGTTCTGCTGTTTTCCAGGCCTTACGTTCTGAGGAAAGGAGGACGTGGCCCATCGTGCTGCATTCAGCAAGAGAAACCTGATCCTGCTCTGTTAAGGGGAGGAATTATTTAGGCTATAAT